CAAAACTGTGCACGGTCAATCAACGGAAAAACAAAGGAAAATTGGAAGAATTTTGAGAATATCAGTATAAAAATCAAAAAAAATTAGTAATCATTATCACAAAAAAGAAATGACTTTCAAGAAAATCTCTTTCCAGACTTCCGTGTCGAAATCAGTACGAAATCAGCAATAAATCTCCGCATTTTTTCTGACAAAACAAAACAAATTCATTGAAACAAAAGCGAAAAAAAATTGACAAAATCAAAAATTATTTAAGAGAACTGACAGCTTTCCGATAGAGCTCCTTCCAGATTTCGGCGCTATATTCGTTACAATTCGAAGGCGCCAATCTAGCGAAATCGGTGTTTTTGTTCATTTCCGACAGACACTTCTTCTTCAAATTATCCAATTTGTATTTGAGAGATAATTGAAATTTGTCTGGAAAATCGTTTATCGAGATTTTCATCAAAAATTGCTCGCATCTCTCCGTGACAATTTTTGCATCGAAGAAATCCGCCAATTTCAGCAGATGTTCAACATTTGACTCTGAAAATTGAGAAATGGATTTTGAAAAAATTCCGGTACGAATCAAAAACCTTCAACGACTAAAAATCCATAGATAATTCCAAGAAAGGTGTGGAACTCCTTCGGATTGATATCCTTCAATTTGATTATCGATTTTTCAGATTCAGCATAATTTCCCGAGAAAAGAGCTTTGAAATATGTCGAGTGGAGAGATAATTTTTGTAGACATGGAATTTATGATCTTCAACAGTCAAAACAACAACAGATGATTCTTTTGCGAAGTAATCGTCGAAATCACGAAAGAATCCAGTCATTTCATTGATTTTCACACGGACTTCAAACGTGGCATTGTCATCGATTCCGTATTTCTGGATATCATTCTTGGATAGGTCCCAGCGATTTAACGGCGATCTAATTTTTCCAAATTTAAAAGTCTTGTCCAAACTTAAAATTCTTTGTCCAAACTTAAAATTCTCTCCAGTGCTGAATGGTTTTCCGTTAACAAACACATCGCAAGTTGTGTTAATTGACCAATTGCCGGTTTGGAGGCTTTCACAATAGAAATATGCGATGCCGTCATAATAATCTTTAGATAGGTTAAGTTGCCTGAAACGTTTTTATTTTTGACTCAAAAAACGATAATTGTTTACCAGGAGACACCAAAATGCTTCTCCTTGGGTCCATGCAAATAACAGGCGATTCGCATATTTTCGAAAACATGCTTGTACACGAACTTTTTTTCTTTGTCGTCCGACATTTTTGATGTATTTTTGTTTGAAATTGCGTCGCAAGAATTCGAAACCAGGGGGGGGGGGGAATTTTGGGATTTTCAGCGAGGAAAATAAGCACGGAAAGTTAAATTTAGAATGAGCAAGAATTTCGAAATCAAAGTACAGTAGTCCTCTTAAAGGAACATTCATAATTTTTAAAAATGGATCCGCAACGAAGGAATTATTTTTACATTTCTCGCTTTTCTGTTTTGTCGAAAATTGAAATTTTGCAGAGAAAAAACAAATCGACATTGAATTAACTTGAAAAATCCGTAAAAGCTAGAAATTCTCTTTTTTTCAAGCAATTTTCGACGAATTTCGAAAAATTGAAGCATTTTTAAGCATGCGCCTTTAAATTTCTACAGTAACCCACAAAGCCGATTTCCCTCGATTTTCCCTCATTTTCAACCGATTTTCTTCGTTTTTCATGCATTTTTAACCAAAAAATTAAATAAATTCCAAATTTTCGTCGTAAATTACATATTTTCCAGCGAAAACTCTAGTATTTTCCCATTTTAAAGCCTATTGTGATTTTCGCTTCATTTCCCTTCATTCCGGCTCATTTTCGCTGGTTTTCTCGCAATTTCCTGCTAAAACTGCCATTTTTCAGCTAAAAAATGCCCAAAAAAAGCTTCGTAATCAAAAAATTATTCGAAAATGTCGAAAAAATGGAAATAGACACAGAAAAGTGTGGAGACGTCGAGGATCATCTAGGGATGTCGTGGTAGGGCCGAAAATCGATATTTTCGAAAAATCGATATTCAAGTAATTCAAATTTTTTAGGCCAAAAAAAATTTTTCAGGAAAATCCGCTTGCTTCGAAAAGACCAAAAACTCAAGGCCTATCTGGATTGTCTGGAAAAAATCGATAATCCGGAATCGCTGATTTCCACAGGCGGGAAATTCAAATTCAACGGAAAGGAGCAAATCTTTTTTCATGATTTTACGAAAATCGAAAATTCGAAATTGGCAATTTTAGAATATTGGTCGCAGAATTCGAATTATCTGAAAAATGGAAGTGCTGAAATTGAATTTCTCGTAGAAATCGATACGGAAAAATCGATTGGTATCAAAATTGGAAAAGAAAAATCGAGAATTTTCGATGATGACGTGGCAAAAGAGGTTTCAGATGTCGTTCTGACGATTGCTCAGCGTAAATTCTATGTGTCGAAGTTGACACTAGCATCACAATCGCATATTTTAAAACGTTGTTTTAGGGAAAATTCGTCGAATCCGAAAAATCGATAATCGAGTTGAAGGATATCGATCCGCACGAATTTCAGATTTTTCTGGAATTTTTGTATGGAGAATCGGTTTTGAATGGTAAAATAAAATTTTGAAAAAAAAAATTTTTTTCAAAATTTCCAGACGAAACCGTCGACGAAATTCTGAAACTAGCGGACATGTACGATGTGAAAACCGCAAATCGCCAATGCGAAAAATTTCTCCTCGCCGATTCCAAAAAATCGATAAAAGACAAGCTCACAGCTGCCGCAATGTATAATTTGGAGAATTTAAAGGTGATGAAATGATGCAAATTCGCTCTAATGCTAATTTTCTCCAATTTTTTTAGGCTGTCTGTCTGTCTGAAATCAAAACAGTGTCCGATCTCCGCTCGATTGTTCCAGAAGAATCCAGCCAATTCGATACGGATGTATGGATGAATCTCTTCCTTAAATTGTTGTCTTTTTCCAAATAATTTGTAATTTTGCTATAAATTTGAATAAATGTTGACATTTTCATCATTTTCAGCCAAAGATTCCCGAAAAAAACGAGAAAAATCCGGCTGAAAATGAGCGCCGATTAGTTACTGTTGAACATTAAAGGCGCATGCTCAATTGTCACCATTTTTTCACGCTCCTTTAAACGGCTACAGTAACCCACAAAGAAGTTTTCAAGATGATTTCGCCAATTTCAGAATTTTGGAAACAGAGAAATCTAAAACATTAGAAGGTTTTTTTTTTCGATTATATTTATCTGTGTACCTTCAACTGTCGAGGCACCGTGAATAAGCTCTAGAAACTTCTGAAAGTCAATCGGATCGATATCCTTCAACTCGATTATCGATTTTTCAGATTCCGCAAAACTTCCAGAGAGCAGAGATTTGAAATATGTCGAATGAAAAAAAAAACAGAAAAAGGAGAAAAATCGATAAATTCAATTTTCCTTCGAAAAATCCTCGAAAAAGAGAGCAAAAATAACATTTTTAATGGTTAAAAATTTAGAAATATTGATTAAATTGATTAAAGTGTGTAATGTGCTTTTATAAACGATTTTTTCAAAAGCAAAAAACAAAAAAACCAAATCCTCGGCGGGGGGTTGAACCAAAAACCTTCAGCTTAATAGCCAACAGTGTATACCACTACACCATACGGGCACATTTAGAAACAGGGGAGAGAATGCAATTATAATATATCCGCCCGGCGCGTGAAAAAATCAATTTTGGTTTTTGAAAAATCGAAAGTTTTTCGAAAAAAAAAATCACGTTATCTTTTTAAAAAAGTGAAAAAAAAGAAAAAAAATGGAGCAAAGAGATAAGAATCTCTTGATTTTCCGTATAAAAGCGAGAGAGAAACAGTGAGAATCGTCAGTTCTCCAGCTTGAGCTTGAGCTGGAGCTGGGGCTCTGGGAGCTCCTTGGGTCCTGTGTCCTGGGTCCTGGGTCAGAGCTATTGGAACTAGAGCTATTGGAACTGGAGCTATTGGAAATGGAGCAGCTGAAACTAGAGCTGTTGGGGCCGGACCTGGATCTTGAAATACATCGACAACTTCATAGCTAATAACAACGACTCCGCTCTTCTGCACATTCGGTGTAGAAGGACAGATGGTGCTCAATTTTCCCAACAAAAAACGCTGGACTATTTTTAACATTTCGGATTCTATAACAAGTTCGAAAATTCAGAAAGCGGTCAACTGATAAAATGTTGCTGATATCATGATAAACATTTTAACAATTGGCAACTTGTTGATATCTTTCAAAAGAAGTGAGATTCTTTAGGCTCAAAGTAAACGGTCCGGGTGGCGTTCTATTAGAGTGTTTACGGTAATTTGTGAAGGACAAGACGAGGACTACTAAATTAATTTTCTACTAGAATTTTTAAAAATGAATGATAAAAAGTTTTGAAAATTAAACCCTTGTTTTCTTGTTCTTTTTTCTTTTCTGATTCTTTTTTTCAGTGTGGAAATTTAGTGTGAAAAATATAAAAATACACATTTCTACACACTACAAACTATATATTTTAGTGAATAAGTAAAATTATCGAAAATGTTCCAAGTCTATTCAGTTTTTCAGAAAAAAAACAACTAAGATCAACTTCTCGATTGGATGGTTGTCTAATGGACGCAAAGAGGGAGAAAGGCAACGAAAAGATGGAGTTCAGCGAGCCAAGAGGCAAAATGTTTAATTTTTTCGCTTTTTTCTTTTCTTTTTACGTTTTTTTTCTCTTATTTTTTTGTAATTTTTATTAATTTTCAATAAATTTGTATTGGTGAACTCTATTTTCAGTTTACAGAGAATATTAGGACATGGGGAGGGGAGGAACTGCTGCGCGGCGGCGTGGATCCTATATGCTCGCACAATGCGCCCACATATGTTTCGTATTTCGAGCATATACAACACCGCGCGATCCCCATATAACGTTCCTCGCGATCCACCTATGAAAGCAAATGTAAATAATTTAAAGGTACATAAAAAGGGAAAAATGATGATGGAAAAAATTGAGAGCTAGCTTGTCGGAACTTGCTGCTTTTGTACTTAAAATGTGTGTTCTAGCCGGTTTAACAATTCCTATGGACGAAAAATAAGAGAATTTTGCTAAAAACCGGTTTTTCAGTACAAAAATTAAGCTGTTGAATTTTTTAGGAGATTGTATGTCTATGAAAACACCCAACAATAATGGACAATAAGTGCATAAAATCATACCAAGGGATACCAAAACATTCTTTAAAGGAGGGTAGACATCAAAAATTTCAAAATTTTCATTTTTACTCAAAAGATATAACTCTGAAGTATAAATATAGCTATGTACTTAAAAACCTGAAAAAAACACTTCAAGGACGAAAAAATGATCTTTTTTGTCACCCTAATTTCTTCACTAGCTTGCTGCTGCGGCGTCGCTTCATAATGTGAAAAACGCGATGGTCGCCTCTTACACGCGTAGTGTAGTGGGTGCGCTCTAGGCTAGTATTCAGGAGGTCAGAGGTTCAATCCCTGCTGGTGTTTTTACTTTTTTCTTCCCTTGTTTCCTTCGGATTGAACTTTTTGAACTCGGAATTTCTGAAGGGCTACCAGCGTGCCGCCGAGGCCTCGCTCCGAAGTACCAAAATCAGTTGAAAATGAAGAAACGTGTTTTATTATGTTAACAAATAAATTATGAAAAAAACTACAATTAATTTTTAGAAAGAGACATAACGATTGAAAGAAAAACCACATAATTAAAACAATCCTCGTGCAGGGCTGGTCGTCGGAAGGTGAAGGAAGCAGTAAAATTGGAGACGTCTCTGAAAACCCCAGTCATAAAACAGTTTTTTATTCCTAGAGTAATAACGAGAAGTAGTGAAATAAAAAGGAACAGTGAAGAAACGGTTATCGAAAAGAAAATAGTTTTTTTCGCATGCCTATAAAAAACACCGGCGACTGGAAAAATAATCGGTCGATAGAACTTTAAATTTACATTAAAAAATTCACTTTTATATGGGTTTTATAATAAATAAGAAAAAAGAGCTTTTTTAATGTTTGAAGTCGTTAAAAATTGAAAAAAATAAAGTCGGGAAATAAAAAAATAAAAATGTTTGCGCGTGGGATTGCGCGCTTTAGATGCTAACACCGCGACGGCAAAATACACATTCCCTGAAATTTTCCCCGAAATTTTTGCTGTCTGCCCTCCTTTAATATTTCCTAAAGCGTATACGCCTGCTTTTCTGGGATACTTGAAAACGTGCTTCAGCACAAACTTCTTCTCCTCGGCAACTGACATTTTATCGATTTTTCGCCTGAAAAGTTTTTGCTGAATATTTTCTGCTAAAAAAAATTTTTTTTCGGCTCGGCCAGATTTTGCAAGTATGTTGAAAAGCAGGTTAATCACACTGATTCAAACATCAGTTATCAGTCATTAAATAGAAACAACAACAACAAAAATCAACAAATTTCTGTGAAAATCGGAAAAATAACAGACAAATCGGAACAATGCAACAAAAAGACAACAAAAAACGAGAAAAATCGGAAAATTCAGATAAATCAATCATTTATAGAGCAGAATAGGCTTTTAAGAAGAGCTCTTTCCAGACATCTGGCCCGAAATCATGAGCATTTTCTGGAACCAATTCACGAATTTCAGCGGTGGTTTTCAGTTCCGACAGACACTTTTTCTGAAATTTTAAAACATTTTTTTGAGGAAAATTATCGATTTTTGCTCTCACCTTCAAGGCATCCAACTTGTATCTCACTGCACATGTGAATTTGATTTTCATCGATTTTTTCGATTTTTCCAATAAAAATTCCTCGCATCTTCTGATTGCAGTTTTCGCGTCGTACATATCAGCCAATTTCAGAATCCCCTCTACAGTATCGTCGTCAATTGCAGATTCTCCATATAGAACTTCTAGAAACTTCTGTAAATCTTTCGGATCGACATCCTTCAATTCGATTTCAGATTTTTTAGATTCCGAGAAATTTCCGAGAAATAGAGATTCGAAATAGGTGGAATGAGAAGCCATGAATAATTTTGAGACATAGAATTTTTGATTTCCAGCCAACAAACAGACATCTGAGAACTTCTTCGCCACGTCATCATCAAAAATTCTGAATTTCGGAATTTCGAATCCTGTCATTTTCTTGATGATCACTTGGAATTCTGCCTCAAGGCTTACGTTGATTAGATATTGTTGCAGGTTACTGTAGTTAATCTGAACCATACAAATAACTTTTTCAGACGTTCCGGAAATCAAGTATTTTTTATTCCTAAACACATGAGGTTTGTAGAAATCTGAGTCCACTTCGAATTCTATCGACCATTCGCTTCCGACAACGTCTTCCGATTTTCGAAATTCCAAACATACGCATAAAATATCATCAAAAACCCTCCGACAAAAACGAAGCTTCCAGAAAATTCCAAAGTGTTTTTCTTCGTTTCCATAAACCACTTTATCATTTTGTAGTTTTGTAACATTTTCAAAAACATGCTTGATCACAAACTTCTTCTCCTCTCTATTTTCTGTCATTTTTGTCGACTTCAGCAGCGGTTTATCTGGAAAAAAAACAATACATTTTTAAATTCTAACTTAGTATTTATGCCCAAAATCTAAGAAAAAATGACGAAAAAATCCTAAAATTGGTGTAAATCAATGCAAAAACTTTTCAAAAACACACTTTTTATTATTCGCTGCCAAACCAGTAAACCTGTTTTTGAGAGTGCGCCTTTGACTACTGTAGTTTAAAATTATTTATTTTTTCGGGTTTTCGTGAATTTTGAGCGTTTTTTTGCAGATTTATAATCGAAAAGTGTTTAAAAAATAATTTGATTTTTTTAAACAAAATTACTCAAAAATTTGATAGAAAATGCAAACATTCAGGATTTTTCCATCGACTTTCAGTATTTCAACAGGTACATTATATCCTTTAAAGGCGCGTGCCGAATATCGTAAAAAGGTTTCGAAGCGGCTTTCTGTTTCTCATTTTTATTTTTTGTGAACAAAAGCAAAATTTTCTGGGTTTTTTTCTTTCTGAAAAAGGCTTTAAAAAATTTATTAAAATCAAAAGAATGGAAAAAAAAGAAGTGTGATGGTATCAGACAGCAAAAAAGCATTTTATTAAAAATTCAATTAAAAGAGAAGGCCTTATTGAACAATTCCGCCCAGACATCTTGATTGATTTGAAATGGGTCTTCCGGTAGAACTGATTTCACATCTTCCTTGTTTTTCATGCCAGAAATGCACTTTTTCTGGAAATTTCAACTATTTTAGGTAGGAAATTCTCAAAAATAAATAAAAAACCTTCAATGGCTCCAATCGATATTTAATAGCCAATTCGAACTTCAGCTGAAGTGATTTTTCGGATTTATTCATCATAAACGCTTCACATCTTCTGAAAACAGTTTTCGAATCGAAAAAATCGGCCAAATGGAGGAGTCCTTCAACAGTGTCATCTGAAAAATCAATAATTGCTCAGAATATTCCAAAAACCCATACCATTCACAAATGTCTCTCCGTTGATAAGCTCTAGGAAGTTCTGAAAATCATTCGGATCGATATCCTTTAATTCGATTTCAGATTTTTGAGATTCCGAGAAATTCCCGAGAAATAGAGATTCGAAATATACGGAATGAGAAGCCACGAATAATTTTGAGACATAGAATTTTTGATTTCCAGCCATCAAACAGACATCTGAGAACTTCTTCGCCACGTCATCATCAAAATTTCTCAGCTTCGGAAGTTTGATTCCTGTCATTTTCTTGATTGTCACGTGGAATTCTGCTTCCAGGTTTCCTTTGAACAGATATTCTTGCAGGTTAATGTAGGAAATCTGAATCAAGTCGATAACTTTCTCAGACGTTCCGGAAATCGAGTGTGTTTTATTTTTAATTTTTGAATCTCTGTACAAATCTGAGTCCACTTCGAATTCTATCGACCATTCGCTTCCGACAACGTCTTCCGATTTTCGAAATTTCAAATATACGCATAAATATGGAATACCATTAAAAACCTCGAAACAAAGACGGAGCTTCCAGAAAATTCCAAAGTGTTTTTCTTCTTCTCCATAAAGCACTTTATCATATTGTAGTTTTGTAACATCTTCAAAAACATGCTTGATCACAAACTTCTTCTCCTCTCTATTTTCTGTCATTTTTGTCGATCTTTGCAGCGGGTTACCTGGAAAAAAACAAGGAATTTTAAAAATTCAACAAGATTTCAATATTCATGCCGAAAATCTGAGAAAAAATGACGAAAAAACTCCTATTATTCTTGTCAGAAATAAAAAGGTTGAGGCGAAGTGTATGCGAAGTTTGTACACAAATATCTGAAAGCGTAAACAAAAAAAACGTAAACAAACACAGTTGAAACGAGTGCGACAGTAACCCGGCTGGAAAATGTTGAATTTGAAAGTTTTTTAGCTTTTCACATATTTCGCAGCAGATTTCGCCGAATATGTTCTGTTTTTCATAGTTTTTTTGCTGTTTTTCTTTTATTTAATCAGGAATTTAAATAAATGACACAAGAGAAAATGCATATTCGTCGGTTTTTGAACGTTTTTTACTGATCATTTGTACATAAAAAGCAAAATAATTGCGCGATACTCTTTTTGTCTTCTATTTCTCCATATCCATGTCGTTTATCTTTTTCTTTCTGGAATGTTCGAGTTTTTTTCAGGAACCACCGCTCATCGGCAAACACAACGAGATGACGTAATCAAAGAAAAATAATGATGTGGCTGGAAGAGAGCTTCTGTTTATTTTAATGTGGTGTTGCGGTTAGTTCAATAATTAGGACAGTTATTTCTTCGCCGTCAGTATTTTTTCAGATTAATCCACAACAATGAAGACACATTGTCAAACGATGAATCGAATAAGAGTGGTAATACCAAATAATTGTCGGGTTGTAGTGGTGGTTTGCTCATTTTCCCCGCTTATCTTCCTTCCTTCTTATTTTCTATCTTTCAGAAACATCGAGAATGAGCCACCAAAAATTCGAATGATTTTAAGGATAGATATGATTATAACCGAAGGAAGAATGTCGAAATGGACTTTATTTTTTGAAAAATCTTTTCAAATAAAAATTTTTTTCATCCATACTCAATAAATTGTTTTTCTTTTATTCGGACTATTTCTTGAATTCAATAGTTGACCAGAGCTAAAATTTTTCAAACCGTAAAAAACAAAGAGGAATTTTTTAATAATAGCTTCTAGGAAAATGCTACCACCGTTAGTGAAGGTCCGTTTCACAAACAGCTGGGGAAATGGATCAAGAGTTATCCAGAGAGATAAGCTTACATTGGAACAGTTACATTAAAATTATCTATCTCCCCACTCGACATATTTCAAGGCTCTTTCCTCGGGAAATTATGCTGAAACTGAAAAATCGATAATCGAATTGAAGGATATCGATCCGAAGGAGTTCCACACCTTTCTTGGAATTATCTATGGATTTTTAGTCGTTGAAGGTTTTTGATTCGTACCGGAATTTTTTCAAAATCCATTTCTCAATTTTCAGAGTCAAATGTTGAACATCTGCTGAAATTGGCGGATTTCTTCGATGCGAAAATTGTCACGGAGAGATGCGAGCAATTTTTGATGAAAATCTCGATAAACGATTTTCTAGACAAATTTCAATTATCTCTCAAATACAAATTGGATAATTTGAAGAAGAAGTGTCTGTCGGAAATGAACAAAAACACCGATTTCGCTAGATTGGCGCCTTCGAATTGTAACGAATATAGCGCCGAAATCTGGAAGGAGCTCTATCTGAAAGCTGTCAGTTCTCTTAAATAATTTTTGATTTTGTCAATTTTTTTTCGCTTTTGTTTCAATGAATTTGTTTTGTTTTGTCAGAAAAAATGCGGAGATTTATTGTAGAAAATCTGAAATGTGTTGAAAAATGACAAAGTCACAGTGTTCGTTTTTCTACCTTTTTCAAAGGCGCTTTCATGAGAACGCAGCCAAATTGATGGCTGAGGATCAAACGTTTTGTTTCGTTGTCTGCGTCTCTTCGCCAAAATCTCGTCTCTTCACCGAAATACGATCGCTCGTTTTAGTGGAGAATGTTTTCTTTTTTGAAAATTTGAAAAAAGCTTTGCCCCGCCCCCTTATCAATAGAGCGAGTTTGCAAAGGTTAAAAACCGAACCCTATGCGAAGTGCGAAAAAAGTTTTATATTTTCGATTCAAATCGGGTCAACAAAATCAATAACAAAATTCAAGAATTACAACAAATCAAAAATGGTGTCTTCGAACTTTCGGAGTCTCATTTTTCTGCGTTTTCAGAGTCTTCTGCATAATCTCCAGTTGGCTCTCAACGTCTTCAAAAAGAGATGTGATTTTCAGCGATAGATGTTTCCAAGTGGCATTATCGATTAGATTCGAATTTTTCGAAATAATCGATCGAATATCGGCAGATGCCTTCAACTCGGAAATGCACTTTTTCTGAAAAAAATTAGCTTTGAAAGTTTTGAAAATCGCTAAAATTTTCACCTTCAACCTTTCTAGTTTATATCGTAATGCATAGTCAAAAGTTTCCTTCACAGACATATCTATCGGTTTTTTCATAATGAAATTTTCGCATTTTTCAATAACACTTCTGCAATCGAAATATTCTGCGAAATCAAAAATCGAATCATATGTGTCGTCTGCAAAAAAAAATCGATAAATCAATGATTCAAAAATTCTTCAAACCATCGATAACTGGTTCTCCATATAAAGCTTCCAGAAAATTCTGTAAATCGTAGGGAAAAATATTTTTCAATTCAATTTCAGATTTTCCAGATTCTTTGAATTTTCCGAAGAATAAAGCGTTGAAATAAGAACACTCTTTTGATAATAGAGATTTTGAGACGTAGAATTTGTAATCACCGATTTTCAGTGTTACATCTGATGCTTTCTCAGCTGCTTCGTCGTCAAAATTTCTCCATTTTTTCTCGGCGACTTTATTCAAATTATCGATTTTATTTTTGATTTTCATTCAGAATTCGAAGCTTCCAGAAGACGTTGAAATGATTCTCTGCGTCTCCACACTGCTCGGTGTTCTCTTCAAGGTTTAAGACATTTTTGAAGACGTGTCTCATCGAGAAACTCTTTCTTTCCGACATTTTTTTAGCTGAAAACATAGATTCTTTTTTGGGATAATTCGAGAAATTGGGCTTAAAATTATGAATGAGCAAGACAGAAAAATTGGGGTTACTGTAGAAAATTAAAGGCGCATGCAAGAGAAATGTCTGGACTTTGCTCGTTTTTCGACTGATTTTCGTTTCTCTTCTCAAAAATTATTACCTAAAAACTTGAAAAATTCGAAGGTTCACACTGAAATCAACATATTTCATCCAAAACGCGATTTTCAAGCGAACTTCCAAACATTTCAGTTGCATGCGCCTTTGAATTTTCTACAGTAAACAGCGGTGATAAAAAAATAATTCGAGTCGAATTCTACTTAATTCCAGCCGATTTCCTTCGTTTTTTTCGCATAAATCGGCGATTAAAAATTACTTTGAAATTCGTTTTATGAGTTCTGGAAAAAATTCAATTTTGATCTATAACAAAAACATCAAATTTAAAAGAGCAGAAAATATGATTTATTTATGAATTGCTGCAAATTTCAAGTACAATTCCTTCCAAAGAGACGGATCGAAAAACGACGGATCTTCTGGAACAATCGATAGAAGATCATCATGAGTTTTCAGCTCGGAAATGCTCATAGCCTGAAAAAAAATTTTCGATAGACATTTCTAGATTCCATCACCTAGAATTGTCCCGAAAACTCAAAAAATGTAAAAATTTCACAAAAAACCACCCAAAAATGACTTTTAAAAAAATTGGGTCAAATGGCTCAGTGGGATTTTTCATCGAAATTTAGGTCAACAAGGCCAAGAGTTCGATTCCTCCTAGAGTCAAAACTTTTTTCTTTTTTTTGAGTTTCAGAAAATGGATTTTTAGAATTTTCGAACTTTCAAAAAAATAATTTTTAAGGACATTTTTATCATTGATTTTTAGCTTTTAAACCACAAATATCGATAAGAGGTATCGATTTTCTCGAAATTCTTCACAAAACTCATTAATTTTTCTTGCATGCGCCTTTAAACTTTCTACAGTAACCTTTAAAATTTTATGTGATTTTCAGCGATTTTTCAGCTGTTTTTCAATAGAGTTCGCATTTTTCGAAGTTTGAAATTTCATTTTCACGAGGAAACCGCTGAAAACAAGAAATTACCCTAATTTTTAAGTGCATGCGCCTTTAAATTTGTCTACAGTAACCGATCGGCGATTTCTGTCGAATTTCGCTCAGTTTTCATCGATTTTTCTCGATTTTTTCGCTGAATATCTCAATTTTATTGATTTCAAAATCAAAATGAATGGTTTTCTAGACATTTTTCCAGAATTTTCAGCCAAAAAATGGCTTCCAACGAGGAAGATCCGATTGTGAAGTTGAATGTGGGTGGAGTCATGTTTCAGACCCTAAAATCCACGTTGACAAAGCATAAAAGCATGTTTAAAGTGATGTTGGAGACAGAGATGCCGGTATGGGATCTGAAATAATCGATTTTTCTAAAAAAAATCGATTATCGATTTTTCCAGGTCACCAAAGACGAGTCGGGCTGCATTTTCATCGATCGCGACCCAAAGAAATTCGAGAAAGTTCTGGAATTTTTGAGAACCGGCCGAATCGATTTTTCGGGTCCTGGAGACATCCTAAGCGTTCAAGAAGAGGCACATCACTTTATGCTAGAAAGCCTCGAGGAGTACTGTAGCATTGTCCAACATGAGAAAATTCAAAATTCGGCGCGAGATTTGAAAATTTCAGAATCGGTGAAAATTATTGAAAACGACTCGGAACTCTTGAAAATTATCAAGAAAATCGGAAAGGTGGGCGGAGCTTAAAAGGGGGCGGATCCTAAGATTTCAAAAAAAATTTCAGCCAATCCTCGTTTTCCATGTTCCAGTGACAAACTTCGGAAGCATTCAACTCCCAGTGGGATTCGATTTTCCGATTTTCAAGAAATTCTACGCGCCCCGTTTGAATATCTACCTCAGTAAGTGCGCTCCATCGAACTTTTCGTTATTTTTCGCATTAGAGCGCGTTTGCAGCCTCTATACATGGTTTTAGGGGTGAAAAATTGCGGGAAAATCGATTCTACAAGCAAATTCGCTCTACTGTACTTTTTCAGAGCCCTACAGTACCCAGAGCTCTGTGAGACACCAGGAATGGCAATGGACGCTCTATAAAAAGGATTACAGCGAGGGAAATAGTCCAAGAGACCCAAGACAAATGTTTAGAAGACATTTGGAAGCCAGTATCGATGGTTTTCTGATGGATTGATCGATTATTGATTTTTTTTTGAAAGTTCGACTTTTTGCATTTTTGTTGATTTTTGTACTTTTTTCTCTGAATAAATTGATAAAAATATGTTTTCGAAATCGAAAATTCTAGAAAAAATGTTTTGGACAAGGCGCCACTTGGGAGATCATCGGATTTAAGGAGATTTTCATAGAAAATATGATCTCCAAGTGGGGCGCCAAAACACCACGCCGCACTTGCAAAGCGATGGGCGGAGCGTCGGTGGGACGGAGGCGGGAATCAAAGTACGCAAACACCGAGTCTCACTTTTTTTATTCCGACAATAAAAACCCCTGAAAACCGCCCAAAAATGTCGGAAGAAGTTGTGAAACTCTGTACTCTCTCGCCAAGGTCTATAGCTATTTCTCTGCGTCTCTGCATATTTTATATTCTCTCGGAATGTTAATTTAGCGTCAATATTTCGAAAATCCTAAAAAGTTAAAAAATTCAGAAATTTCAGACTGAATTTCTAAATTTCCGATGTTCCGAATGACTTGACTTTTAGAACTTTTGAATCTAAATTTTCAAAATTTCAATAATATGAAAACAGCCTAAAAAATCTCAAAATTCGGAACATCTGAAAAATCTGAAAAAACGAAAAAAATTTTATTTTCTCAACACATTGATTTATTAATTGAACTTGGATTCGAATTTAATTTGTGGATGAAAAAAAAAATTTTTTGAAAAAACATTTTTTTTTCTAAAAATTTCAATTTTCGACAAAAAAAATAAATTACATCAAGAATGGGGAGAGAGACAGAGAGAAAAGAAGGGGTCAGAATTTTTTTTTTTGAAAATTTTTTTTCAAAAAAAAAGGTTAGTATAGAAATGACAGACAAGTAATTTTCAGGGGGGAATTCACTGGAGAAGAAAAGTTGAAAAATTTCAGAAAAATGACAGATTGTGACAAAATGGAAACAACTGGAAATTATGAGTTCTGGAAGATGAAACAATTGGAAAAAATTTGAAAAAAAAATTTTTTTTCAAATTTTTTTTTTCAAATTTTTGGGACAAAACAGAGGAAAAATGGTTAGAAATTTTAGAGAAAAATGAAAATATGAATACAGTAATTTTGGAGACAAACTGAAAAAAGAGACAACTAAAAAAAAGGAATTTTTGAGAATTTTAGGAAATTTCGGAAAATTCCAAAACTTCCCAAAAATAGCACATTTGGAAGCAAAATTAGTGGGGGGAAAAGTAGTGAAAAAGTTACAGTAATTTCATCAGAAATTGGCGGGAAATTCAAAAAAATTTTGAAAAAATCAAAATTTAAAAGTTTTCAAAAAATTCCAAAATTCCTAAAAATCGCCAAAAAAGTGAAAAGGCTGAAAATTACAGAAAAACGTGAGTTAGAGAACAGTAATTCAATCAGAAATTGGCGGGAAATTCAAAAAATTTTGAAAAAATTGAAAAAATTAAATTCTTCAAAAAATTCCGAAAAATTCAAAAATCCAAAATTTGCCAAAATATGGGAAAACTGAAAATAAAAGAGAACAAACTGAAGATTGTAGAGAAAATGTGAGTTACAGTAAGAAATTGGCGGGAAATTCAAAAAATTTTGAATAAATTAAATTTTTCAAAAAATTCCGAAAAATTCGAAAATCCAAATTTGCCAAAATATGGGAAAACTGAAAATTGTGTGAAATATGAGTTACAGTAATCCAATCAGTTTTTGAAAATTTCAAATTTTTAAAAATTTCAAAAAATTCCGAAAAATCGCCAAAAGAGAACAAACTGAAGATTGTAGAGAAAATGTGAGTTACAGTAAGAAATTGGCGGGAAATTCAAATTTTTGAAAAAATTCAATATTTGTCAAAATTTCAAAAAATTTCAAAAATCCAAAAAAATTTCAAAAATCCAATTTCAAAAAAAATCCCAAAAATGGGAACAAAAACCACATTTTTCTACAAAAAATGGGTTAAAAATGGGTCAAAAAAGCAGTTTGGGGTGAATTTTTAAAATTCAAAAATGGGACATTTTTGGAAAATTCAAAAAAAAAGTTTTTGGGAATTTTAGGGAAAAAAGGGGTGAGGACAAGACAGACAGACAAGAGAAATAGTAATAGACAAGCGGTAGAAAACGAAAAGACGAAAATCCAGAATTTTGAAATTTGAAGTTTTTGAAAATTTCAAAAATTCCAAAATTTCATATTTTGGATCAGAAAAGGGTCAGAAGGAGGACATTGTTTGGGCTATTCTGGACCAAAAAATCCCAAGAAATCCAAATTTCAAGTCGCTGGATTGCTATCCTCATCGCTGGACAACAAAATGACCGATGGCGGCTGCTGTTGGGCGGCCGGAGCCGGAGCCTGAGCCTGCTGAGCATTCAAATTCTGATGAATCTGTTGGTGTCGTTGAAGTTGCTGCTGGAGCAACCCATTCGCCAGATTCCACGCATTCTGCTCATCCAAAAACGGTGTCGGCTGTTGTGCAGCTGCTCCATTAAACGGGTTGGCCATTTGCGGCTGTGGTCCGGCGGTCGCCGGCAAATTTGGAAGCGCCGGTGGACTCAAAAAGTTCATCGGGGTGCCGAAACCCAGACCCAGCTGGTTCAACGATGGTCCTCCGACGGATGGAGCCGGTGCCTGTGCTCCTCCTCTCATCATGTCACTGGCCAGGACGGCGAATTGAGCTTGGGCGGCGGCGGCGGCGGCTCCCTGTTGCCATTGACCCTGAAGAAGTGTTGGGTCCATAATGGGTACGGGAACAAACTGCGGAACCATATGAGATGATGGGGCGAGCGAGAGGAAGTGTGGTTGGATGAAGGGATGGTCTGAAAGGAAGAGAAAGATTTGATATTGGATGGAAAGGATCCGGGCCGAAGCGCACCCTATAGGTGTACTTTGAGACAACTTATCTGGGTTGTTTCAAAAGATATCTAAAATTTGTCAACTGATAAAATATAGGTGGTATTATGATAAAAATTTTATCAGTTGACAGATTTTTGATACCTCCCACAGGAACCCAGATAATTGAGCTCAAACTTAGAGGTTGGCATTGAATGAGCTACTCGGTTACTTACACTTTGAGCTCGATTATCTCAGTTTCTATAAAAGATGTCAAAAAGTAATCAACTGATAAAATGTTTACCATAATCTTATCAACATTTTACTAGTTTGCAGATTCTTGATATCTTTTACAGTAACCGAGATAATTGAGCTCAAACTTAGATCATCAAAATGGACAAAAAAACTCACGAAGTTGTGTAAACTGAATCAGCGGTTGTGCCGGGATCGGTTGATAAAACATTGGTGCCGCTGGTGCCGGCGCTGCAGTCTGCGAGTAGTGATGCATCAAATTCTGAAGATCCGGCTGAGCAACCACTGTCGACGTCGGCAACATCGGATTGTTTAGCACCGCCATAATCGGAGGCTGAATCTTCGGAGGGACCGGACTACGGAACTGATGGTTGGTCGGGACCACAGGTCCACCCTTTCTACAAATCTCCATCCGCTTGTTGGCCTCATGGAGGTAGTTCGAGAACCCCTGAGTCGTCAAATGACTCATTTTGATGAATTGGGTCTCAAGGGCGTCGGCCGGGGTGATACGGTAGTCCGGGTTGAGTACCAACATCTTCTTCAGAACATCCATAAACTCTTGGCGATCCAAACTCTCGCAAATCTGTTCAGTTGGCGCTGACTCGAATCCATGGCAAATGCGAGCTAGGTCGTCTAGAGAGTTGAAAATGTACTTTCGAGTTTCCTTGGATTTCGCTGCTGAGCCATTTGACATTTCGTACTCTTCCACGGTTTTCAGACGGTAGTAGCTTCCGCGATTGTTGTTTGGCATGTCCGATTTGAGCTCTCGGAAGTAGCGAGTCAGCTTTCCCGCGTTGTCGAGCATCGAGTTGGGTGGAAGTCCTTGAGTTTGGATTATGAATCTGAAAAATTCAAAATTTTTGATTTATACAATAACCGAGAAAATGTGGCTCAAAGTTGAAGGCCGCGCCGGCGGCGCGATACCTCCAATGACCCCTAGAAAAAAGTAGGTGATGACCTAGAAAAAAGTAGGTGATGACCTAGAAAAAAGTAGGTGATGACCTAGAAAAAAGTAGGTGATGACCTAGAAAAAAGTAGGTGATGACCTAGAAAAAAGTAGGTGATGACCTAGAAAAAAGTAGGTGATGACCTAGAAAAAAGTAGGTGATGACCTAGAAAAAAGTAGGTGATGACCTAGAAAAAAGTAGGTGATGACCTAGAAAAAAGTAGATGATGACCTAAAAAAAATTAGGTCACCACCTAGAAAAAAGTAGGCCATGACCTAGAAAAAAGTAGGTCATGACCTAGAAAAAAGTAGGTGATGACCTAGAAAAAAGTAGGTCATGACCTAGTAAAAATCAGGTCATGACCTAGAAAAAAGTAGGTCATGACTTAGAAAAAAGTAGGTCATGACCTAGAAAAAAGTAGGTCACCACCTAGAAAAAAGTAGGTCATGACCTAGAAAAAAGTAGGTCATGACCTAGAAAAAAGTAGGTCATGACCTAGAAAAAAGTAGGCCGTGACATAGAAAAAAAGTAGGTCATGACCTAGAAAAAAGTAGGTGATGACGTAAAAAAAATTAGGTCACCACCTAGAAAAAAGTAGGCCATGACCTAGAAAAAAGTAGGTCATGACCTAGAAAAAAGTAGGTCATGACCTAGAAAAAATCAGGTCATGACCTAGAAAAAAGTAGGTCATGACCTAGAAAAAAGTAGGTCACCACCTAGGAAAAAGTGGGTCATGACCTAGAAAAAAGTAGGTCATGACCTAGAAAAAAGTAGGTCATGAGCTAAAAAAAGTAGGCCGTGACATAGAAAAAAAGTAGGTCATGACCTAGAAAAAAGTAGGTGATGACCTAAAAAAAATTAGGTCACCACCTAGAAAAAAGTAGGCCATGACCTAGAAAAAAGTAGGCCATGACCTAGAAAAAAGTAGGTCATGACCTAGAAAAAATCAGGTCATGACCTAGAAAAAAGTAGGTCATGACCTAGAAAAAGTAGGTCATGACCTAGAAAAAAGTAGGTCATGACCTAGAAAAAAGTAGGTCACCACCTAGGAAAAAGTGGGTCATGACCTAGAAAAAAGTAGGTCATGACCTAGAAAAAAGTAGGTCATGAGCTAGAAAAAAGTAGGCCGTGACATAGAAAAAAAGTAGGTCATGACCTAGAAAAAAGTAGGTGATGACCTAAAAAAAATTAGGTCACCACCTAGAAAAAAGTAGGCCATGACATAGAAAAAAAGTAGGTCATGACCTAGAAAAAATTAGGTCATGACCTAGAAAAAATTAGGTCGTGACCTAAAAAAAATTAGGTCAAAAATCAGTCAACTGATAAAATGTTTATCATTTCATCAAAAATATTTTATCAGTTGACCAATTTCTGATATCTCTTATAGTAACCGAGATAATTGAGCTCAAGTGTAGGTATAGGCATAGGGATTCTAAGGTAACAGTTTTATTGGCATGTAGCTCACCTAATCTGATCATATTCCGAACTTCCTGGATACAGTGGCCATCCGAGGAAAAGCTCCGCAATGACACATCCCAGTGACCACATGTCGATCGCCTCGCTGAATGGAAGACCAAGGATCACTTCGGGGGCGCTGAAAGAAAATTTTTATCAATTCTATCAATGTTTTTCCCAATGTAATTATTGAATTTCACCGTTTTTGAACATGAAGCCCATTAAAAACACTAAAAATACACCGAAAACGTCTAAAATCCATCAGAAACACCAATTTTCAAAAAAGTGTCCCAGGTGGCTCAGTGGGTTTTGGCGCCAAAATTTTAAGGTCCACAAGGTCAAAAGTTCAATTCCTTTTGGAGTAAAAATCTTTTTATTTTTGTGTGGACCTGGGAAAACTAGTTTTGAGAGTGATAAAATGATAAGAAATCAAAATTTTGAGGAAAAAAGGTTTTTTTTTTATATCAAAAATGAGACATTTGAATTTTGAGCTCAAATATCTCGGTTCCTTTAAGAAATGTCAAAAAACTGTCTACTAATAAAATGCTTATCATATTATCACCAACGTTTTATCAATTGACCAAATTTTGATGCCTATTACAGTAACCGAGATAATTGAGCTCAAAGCAAAGGATAGCGGGTGATACCTCCAACGCACTTAAAGCTCAATTATCTCTGTTTCTATTAAAACTATCAAAATTTTGTTAATTGATAAACTGTTTATCATATTATCAGCAACATTTTACCAGTTGACAGATTTCTGATATCTCTTACAGTAACCGAGATAATTGAGCTCAAAGTAAAAGTAACCAACTCACCGATAGTATCTGCTTTGAAGATACGTGTTGGGGACAACCTTATTCCGATGCGAAGCACTTCCAAAATCAATAACCTTGACTCGATAGGGTTGTTGTTGTGGCGCGACCAGCATAATGTTCTCGGGCTTCAAATCCGCATGAATCAGTCCCATTTGTTTGAGCTTGTTCAGAGCGGTTAGGACCTGGAAATAGGATTTTCATGATTTGAATTTTTCGAAAATTCAATGATTAGAATGAATGTCTGAATTTCTGAATTTCTGAATTTCTGAATTTCCGAATTTCTGAATTTCTGAATTTCTGAATTTCTGAATTTCTGAATTTCTGAATTTCTGAATTTCTGAATATCCTAATTTCTGAATTTCTGAATTTCTGAATTTTGGAATTTTGGAATTTCGGAATTCTGAATTTTCGGAAAAACATAAAATATTTATATGAAAATCAGAAATTCTAAAAGTTCGAAAGTTCTTGAAATTTCTCCATTTACATATTTTCCAGAAATTCCAGATTTCCAGAAACTTCAGAAAGTCTAAAATTGTGAAATTAGATTTTGAAAATAGTAAAAAATTTCAAATTTCAAATTTTCAACAATTTCCAAAATTCCAGAAAATTCCAAAAAAAAGCAGGAAACTCAGGAATCCAAAAAATACCAAATTCTAAAATTCCGGGAATTTCAAATAGTTCCTAAAATTTCCAAAATTTTTGAAGTTTTCAATGTTCCAGATTCCTAGGAACTCCTAAAAATTTGGATTCTTTCAAATTAGTCCAAAAACTCGAATTTTGCGAAATTCCAAATTTTAATCTAAAAATTCTGAAATTTCAGATTGTCTCACCTGAAACATGACTGGTCGAATCGCATTGAGTGGCAGTGGCATGAACTTGTTCTGCTTCAAAAAATCATACAAATTCTGTTCCAACATTTCGAACACCAGACACGTATGATTCTTGTGATTGAAGCACTCAAAGGCGCGCACACAATTGAATTCGTCCGAATTCTCATTGCTCAGCCTTGACAGAATCGACACTTCGACTTGTCCCTGTTTCGCGTAGCCCGGATGATTCTTCAAAATTTTAATGGCCACAATTTCGCTGGTTCCCTTCTTCCACGCCTTCACCACTTGTCCAAACGTTCCTTTTCCCAGAAATTCGAGCACTTCGTATTGATTTCCGTATGGTGAGCACAGGAGCTCGTTTTTGATGAGCTGAAAATAAAAATTCAAAATTTTTCTGAAAAAAAATTGAAGAAAAATGAGCCAAAATGCCCCGAGATAGGTGAAAACGAGCTGAAATCAACTTAAAATGACAATAACTTTTTTAGAATTTCGTGTTTTCCAGTTTAGATTTTATCATTAGATTTCTCATGCCAAACTACACATTTTCAAGGTACTTAACTTCTCATGGCCTAACTTTTTCAATTTTTGTTTTTCTAGGCCACAACTTTCAAATGCTTGTAACTCGGCTCAAAGTAGAGCTATTGGAGTTTTGAAAACACCATAATATTTGACATGTAAACCTTGACATTTTGAAATGTAGAAACATCCGGTGCCCTAATTTTTGAATTTTCTAGGCCACCACTTTCAAAGTCTCATAACTCGACTCAAAAATGAGATGATTCAGTTTTGATTTCACCATCGGATTGCTCATGCCAAAATACGTATTTTCACGTTAATTAACTTTTGATGGCCGAACTTTTTCAATTTTTGGTTTTCTAGGCCACCACTTTCAAATGCTTGTAACTCGGCTTACAATAGAGCTATCGCAATTTTGAAAACATCATAATATTTGACATGTAAACCTTGACATTTTAGGGCTACAAAAAATATGGTGGCCTAGGTTTTGATTTTTCTAGGCCACCACTTTCAAAGTCTCATAACTCGACTCAAAAATGAGATGATTCAGTTTTGATTTCACCATCAGACTTCTCATTCAAAAACACGCATTTTCAAGGTACTTAACTTCTCATGGCCTAACTTTTTCAATTTTTGTTTTTCTAGGCCACCACTTTCAAATGCTTGTAACTTGGCTCAAAGTAGAGCTATTGGAGTTTTGAAAACACCATAATATTTGACATGTAAACCTTGACATTTTGAAATGTAGAAACATCCGGTGCCCTAATTTTTGAATTTTCTAGGCCACCACTTTCAAAGTCTCATAACTCGACTCAAAAATGAGATGATTCAGTTTTGATTTCACCATCGGATTGCTCATGCCAAAATACGTATTTTCACGTTAATTAACTTTTGATGGCCGAACTTTTTCAATTTTTGGTTTTCTAGGCCGCCATTACCTCAAGTGTCTCAATCTCAATTCAATTTCTAACTCGGCTAAAAATCAACCAATTTTCGTTTTGAAAAAAACGTCTAGGCTCAATTTTTTTGTAGTTTTTGATTTTCACTAAAACAAACCTGATACTCTCCCTCTTTGCTCCGTGTCGATGTGCTCTTTCCAGTGCCAGTTCCAGTCAACGGTGCCATCACTTTATTAGTCGTCGTTTGATTATTAATAAACGTATTATTCGAGAGATGGGGCGGGAAGATTTGTCCAGTTGGTGGCAGGAAAGAAATCGAGAATTTTTGAGCGGCAGCAGCTGCTACTTTTTGCTGAAAAATTGGATTTTTTGAGGTGATAAAAAGTGATAAAAAGTGATAAAATTTGATTTATGTGCTTTCTCGTCTAATTTACAACTGAAACATAATTTACAACTGAAATTTTCTAAGTGCTTTCTATTTGGCTAACTACAAACTATAAACTACAAAACAAACTTCTTCATCCGCTTGACGCCTTTGAGCAATCAGAATATTGTCAAAGATATTTGGTGGCTGAAAAAGATTTGATTTTGGGATTTTTTTTTTGAATTCTGAAAATCTGGAAATTCGGCTTAAAATTGTCTGAAAACGCTCCAAATTTTTAACTGATTCTGCTAGGTTTTTGGTTTTTCTTAAGTGCGAAAAATTGAAATTTTTGAAAATCTAGCCCTTTTAGTATTTCTGGAATATCTCAAAAACTAGAAATTCCAGACAAAAATCGTCAACTAGAAAAATGTAGAACTTAAAATTTTACACTAGAAAATCTTAAAAATGAAATCTGGAATTTTTTACAAATGCTCGGAAAATAGTCCAAAAATAGTCCAAAAATTCTCAAAAACGCTTAAAATAATCAAAAATGATATTTTTAAAATCATGGAATATCTCAAAAACTAAAAGTCCCTGACAAAAATTATCAACTAGAAAAATGTAGAACTCAAAATTTTACACTAGAAAATCTAAAAAATTCAATCTGGAATTCTCTACAAATGCTCTGAAAATGCTCCAAAATTTTTCGAAATTTTTCAAAAAACGCTTAAAATGGTCAAAAATACCATGTTTGTAATCATGGAATATCTCGAAAACTAGAAATTTTAGAGAAAAGTGGTAAATTAGAAAAATGTTGAGCATAATATGTGGCATTAAAAAATGCTAACAATTTTAGTCTGAATTGTGTCAGAATTCTGTAAAAATGCTCTAAAAATGCTCAAAAATGGCTGAAAACGCTCAAAAATGAAATTTTAGTATTTCTGAATAATCTTGAAAACTAAGAATCCCAGACAAAAATAGCCAACTAGAAAAATGTAGAGCATAAAATTTTACACTAGGCTTATTTTACAAAATTTAAAAAAATTTGGAACAAAGTGAGCAAAAATAGGTTAAAAGTCATTTTGGTAGTCGATGCACCATATCTCCTATTCAGACTGGTTTACGGGCTATATCTCAAAAACTAGAAATTCCAGGCAAAACCCGTCATATAGAAAAATGTAGAGCACAAAATTTTACACCAGGCTTAGTTTAAAAAATGTAAAAAATTCAGACCACAGTGGTCTAAAATTGGGTAAACATCAATTTGGTGAGGTCGATGCACCATATCTCCTATTCAGAGTGGGTTTAGGGCTATATCTCAAAAACTAGAAGTCCGTGACAAAAATGTTTAACTAGAAAAATGTAGAGCATAAAATTTTACACCAGAAAGTGCTCAGAAAAGCTGGCTCACCTGACTAGACGAGACGTTAATATCGGCAATACTCTTCGCCTTTCGATGATCCGGATGACCTTCACCGGTGTTGCGCCGCTTTGGCATCGCCTTTCTTCATTCACTTCTCTTGTCCTTCACCGCCAAACAAATCACAGAAACTTCCAGAAAATTTTCAGATTCTTCTTATTATTATTGTTTTATTAATTATTAATCGATTTTTGTACACACGAAGGGGGGAGGGATTAGTAGTAGTAGGAATTGAAGAATTCCCCAAGAGACCCCGGAGGAAACCCGTCTCCTGAAAAATGGGAAAATTATAAATTAAAAAAAAAGAGAGGTTTGAAAAATTCAGAAATTCAGAAATTCAGAAATTCAGAAGTTCAGAAATTCAGAAATTCAGAAGTTCAGAAATTCAGAAAATCAGAAATTCAGAAAATCAGAAATTCAGAAATTCAGAAATTCAGAAATCCAGAAATTCAGAAATTCAGAAATCCAGAAATCCAGAAATTCAGAAATTCAGAAAATCAGAAATTCGGAAACTCAGAAATTCAGAAATTCAGAAACTCCAAAATTCAGAAATTCAGAAATTCAGAAATTAAGAAATTCAGAAATTCAGAAATTCAGAAATTCCGAAATTCAGAAATTCAGAATTTCAGAAATTCAGAAATGCAGAAAGTCAGAAATTCAGAAATAAAGAAATTAAGAAATTAAGAAAATCAGAAACTCAGAAATTCAGAAATTCAGAAATAGAGAAATTCAGAAATAGAGAAATTCGGAAATTCAGAAATTCAGAAATTCAGAAATTCAGAAATTCGAAATTCAGAAATTCAGAAATTTGAAAATTCAACAAAAAGTAACAGAGAAAATCAAATGAAAAATGATGAGAAATGGAGAAAAACCGAGTTTTAAAGAACGACAAAAATTGGAGATCAAAAACAGATCAAAAAACGAACTTTTGATCTAGAATTTTTTTTCAAATTTGTTCGAAAAGTTTTTGAAAATGTGACTAAAAATTCTAAAAATAGGATCAAAAATCATGAAAATTGGCCTAAAATTACGAAAAATCGATCCAAAAATCAAGAAAAATAGCTTGAAAACCATGGGAAAATGGTCCAAAATCCATAAAAAATGGACCGAAATACATGAAAAATGGTCCAAAATATAGGAAAATTGGTTAAAAAACCCAAAAACTCGATCTGAAAGTTTGAAAATACAGTATCCTTGAATGTTGAAGGCGTCGAATTCATCTGAAAGTGTGGACTTTTACAAAAATTTTTTACAAAAAATCAAAGTTTTACAAACAAAAAATACAAAATTACAGATAAAAAATTTCGGAATAATTCAACCGAAAAAATTCAAAAAATTCAAAAAATAATCTGTTAAAATCACAAAAACATCTTTATAGAAAAAAAAACCAGACGAAAAATTTTAATACCACGAATTGAGAAAAATTGAAAAAAAAAACCGAAAAGCAAACAAACAAAGGAAAATTACCACATATTTCAACTTACCTGAAAAATGAGAAAATTTGAAAAAAAATTCGAAAAAATTCAAAAAAAAATTGGAAAGAGATGCAAAAAAATCAGATCGGAGAACACTAAAAACGAGAGAGGGGGGGGGGGACCAAAAAAAAATTTTTTTTTGGATTACTGTAGTTTTGGTTTTTAGGGGGAAGCTCCTATTCTCCCTTGTACAGTAGCCACATGCGTGGTGATTCGACGTAGGCTGAAATTTTAAAAAATGTAGAAGTTTGACTACAAAAACTACAATAACTACACACACTAAACTACAATGAATACTACAATCTACAGTAATCCCAGACTCACCAGACGGCTCATCGGCGGCCAAATAGCCTCCATGCTCCTCGTAGACGTGATGCTTGAGCTCTGGATACTCGGCATGACGGGCGTTGCAAATTGCACACACATATCCGTGCTCCTCTTTTTTGTGCTCCTGAAAATTGGAAAAAATTAAAGATGAGCAATTTTTCAGAAAAAAAAAATTGATGAAAAATGAGCCGAAATAGGCCAATATTGGCACTTTTGGTGGCCTAACTTTTGCAATTTTTTGGTTTCCTAGGCCAACACTTTCAAATTCTGCTAAGTCGACTCAAAGTAGAGCAATTTCGGCTTTGAAAACGTCAAATGTTTGGTATGTAAACCTTGACATTTTGAAATCCAAAAAATTCCGGTGGCCTAGTTTCCAAATTTTCTAGGCCACCAATTTCAAATGCTCGTAACTTTGCTCAAAAATTAGGTTATTCAATTTTGACTTCAGATTTAGCCTTCTCATGCTAAAATACGCATTTTCAGGGTGCTTAATTTCTGATGGCCTAGTTTCCCGAAATTCTTGTTTTTTCTAGGCCACTACTTTCAAATACACATAGCACGCTTTAAAATTGAGATAATTCAATTTCGACTTCACCATTAAATTTCTCATTCAAAAAAACGCATTTTCAAGGTGCTTAATTTTTCATGGCCTAGTTTTCCGAATCTCTCGGTTTTCTAGGCCACCAAGTTCAAATACTCGTAACTTTGCTCAAAAATTAGATAACTTCATTTTGGCTTCAGAATTAGCCTTCTCATGCAAAATTACACATTTTCAAGGTGCTTAACTTTTCATGGCCTAACTTTTGCAATTTTTGGTTTTCTAGGCCATCACTTTCGAATGCTCGTAACTCGGCTCGGAATTAAGCTATTGAAATTGCGAAAACGCCAAATTACTTGCCATTTTGTCTATAACATTTTGAAATTTAGAAAAACTTGATGGCCTAGTTTTTGGAATTTCCTAGGCCACCATCCCCACAACTGCTTCAATTTGCCCTAACTTGGCTTAAAATCGACCATTTTTTGTTTTGAAAAAAGCGTTCCATGCTCAATTTTTTTGTAATTTTTGATTTTCAAAAAAAAAACAGCTCACCTCCATCGCCACATATCGATTCGCTTTAAAATCGCACACTTTGCACTCAAACTTGATGATTCCAGTGTGGACGCGTTCATGAGTCATTACCTGAAAATTTGCTAGTTTTGGGTTGATTTTCAGCCATTTTTGGCCGTTTTTTAGACTGTTCTTGGCCATTTTTGGGCCGTTTTTCAGCCGTTTTCAGCTATTTTTGGGTCATTTTCGACCAATTGTTTGCCCCAAAACACCCTAAAACTCACCGCAACTTCACTGATGAAAATCTCTTCACAAAAATGACATTGGTACGTTTTGGTGAACACATGGGACATCTTTTTGTGCTTTCTCAACTTTCTTGGCGTCAAAAATTTCATATTACAGAATGAGCAACGGAATCCGGCGTTTGCTCCACGGTGGAATTTTTTGCGATGGTTGATGAGACGATGGTCGGTGCAGAGGTTTCGAATCACTGGACATTCGAAACAGACGTAGGTCTGAAGGTTAGAGAAATTATTAAACTGAGCAATAATTTGATTATTTTCTTGAAAAAAATTTTGAAGAAAAATGAGCCGAAATGAGCCGAAATAGGCCATAATTGGCTGAAAAAGAGCTAAAAATGACTGTGATTCTGTTAAAAGTTTGAATTTTCAATCTTTGACTTCACCATCTGACTTCTTATGCAAATTTACATATTTTCGGGGTGCTTAACTTTCGATGGCCTAGGTTCCCAAATCTCTTGGTTTTCTAGGCCACCACTTTCAAATGCTCATAACTCGGCTCAAAAAAGAGCTATCGTAAGTTTGAAAACGCCAAATAATCTGTCTTAATGTGTGTAACATATTAACAGTTAGAAAAATTCGGCGGCCTAATGTTTGCATTTTCTAGGCCACCACCTTTAAACGCTTGTAACTTGGCTCAAAATTGAGATAATTCAATTTTGATTTCAGAATTAGCCTTCTCATAAAAAGCTACACGTTTTCAGGGTGCTTAACATTACATGGCCTAGTTTTCCAAATCTCTTGGTTTTCTAGGCCACCACGTTAAAATGGTTGAAACTCGGTTCCCAGTAGAGCTATTGTAATTTTGAAAACACCAAACTTTTTGTCTTTCCCTCTTTGACATCTGAAGACCTTCAAAAGTTTGGTGGCCTAGTTTTTGAATTTTCTAGGCCACCAATTTCAAATGCTTGTAACTTGGCTCAAAAATGAGATAATTCAATTTTGACTTCACTATTAGACTTCTCATGTTAAAATACAAATTTTCACGTTACTTAACTTTTGATGACCTAGTTTTCTAATTTTTGGTTTTCTTGGCCACCACTTTCAAATAGTTGTAACTCGGCTCCCAGTAGAGCTACTTTAATTTTGAAAACGTTCGTCTTTTAGTCTTGAACAGTTCAAAGTTTGAAAAAAATTCGGTGGCCTAGTTTTTGAGTATTCCAGGCCACCACCTTTAAATGCTTGTAACTTGGCTCAAAAATGAGTTATTTTGATTTTGAAAAGTCCAAAAAAAGAAAAAAAAACGCACCAATTCACAGTCATGTCTCTCGAGTGCTTCCTCACTTTCGACACATTTGAAACATTTCAGACATTGTTTGAATTCAACCATCTCCTCATGTTTCTTCAAAAAGTGCTTCTTCAACGACATCTCATTTCGGAAGCGTTTATCACAAAACGGACATTGTGGCGAGATTTTCTTCTTGTACGGTCTCTTGAGCTGTTTGATACGTCCATAGTAATCGAATCGGGGTATCAGTCCGCCGTTGTTCTCTCCCGGAAGTGGAATGCTGGAAAAGATAGTGTTTTTGGAGGTTTTTGAAACCTAAAATTGTTATTTTGAAGCTAAAAAAATGAGAAACTGACTTCATTTTTTTCAAATCTAAAACTACAAAATATTTCAAATTCCAAAAATTGTTTCAAATCGAAAAAAGGTCAATTTGGAGCCAAGTTATGATCATTTAAAAGTAGTGGCCTAGAAAATCCAAAAACTAGGCCACCAATTTTTTCAAAACGTCGAAATGTTAAAGACATGTCTACTAGCGTTTTTGGAATTAAAATAGCTGAATTCTAAGCCGAGTTACACACATTTGAAAGTAGTGGCCTAGAAAAACCAAAAATTGCAAAAGTTAGGCCATGAAAAGTTAAGCACCTTGAAAATGTGTAATTTTGCATGAGAAGGCTAAATCTGAAGTCAAAATGGAATCATCTTGTTTTTGAGCCAAGTTACGAGCATTTGGAGGTGGTGGCCTAGAAATTGCAAAAACTAGGCCATCAAAATTTTCACAAATTTGAAGTTTTTAAGAAGACAAAATGGAAAACATTTTGGCGTTTACCAAGCAAAAATAAATCTGCTTTGAGCAATGTTACGAGCATTTGAAAATGATGTCCTAGAAAACCAAAAATTGCAAAAGTTAGGCCATGAAAAGTTAAGCACCTTGAAAATGTGTAATTTTGCATGAGAAGGCTAATTCTGAAGCCAAAATGAAGTTATCTCATTTTTGAGCAAAGTTACGAGCATTTGAAAGTGGCGGCCTAGAAAACCAAAAATTGCAAAAGTTAGGCCATGAAAAGTTAGGCACCTTGAAAATGCGTATTTTAGCGTGAGAAAACTAATGGTGAATTCAAAATGAATTTATCTCATTTCTAGGCAAAGTTATGAGCATTTAAACTTGGTGGCCTAGAAAATCCAAAAAAAACTCGGCCACCAAAATTTTCAAAAATTTCAAAATGAGCCGTTTTCGACCGTTTTCAGCTAATTTTCAGTCATTTTTGGGGTCGTTTTTGGGACCGTATTTCTATAATTTCGAGAAAGTTTCAGCTATTTTTGGCCCGTTTTTTTTTACCCCTATTCTGCTGTTTGAAGGGCTTTTTTCATCCAGAAACTTCCAAAGCAGCTAGACCACCAAATCCTACAGTATCCTAAAAATCAATAAACCCAAGCCATTCTTTTCGGAAAAATTCCCAAAAAAAAAACTCACTAATTGGGATCCTCGGAAGGCTGTGAAATTTCCGATTCGGGTGGAATGAACCCTCCCGTCTGCAACTCTTCAATCCGATTCGCTTCAATTTCTTCGAGCCTCTGCAGTTCGACTTCTTCCTCTTGTTCTCTGATATATTCCTCATAAAGTGTCGGATGTTTATCTCTCAAGTGTCTCTCATAGATATTTTTCTCAATGAATCGATTTTTGCACTTCTTACACCGTACCATCTTTTGTCGAATCATTTTTCGGACCACTCGAACGTCGGTGGGCGCATTTGGAGGCGGATGAAAATCGATACCTTCCTGATGATCGGCTAGGGCAAGTGTCTGTTGAACTTCGCCGATTCGACAAATCGGAAATTTCGAAGCATCTCGCTCACGGAACCCAAATTCGTCTAGGATGATTCGCTCCTTCTGGGGTGGACGAATCTCGCCGCGAATCTCTTTTAGAATCGTTCCAACGCCATCGAGCTTTGGGCGAACGTCTTCTGGTTCCACGACGGCTACTGGCTCCTCCTCTTCATCGTCTTCTTGATTGTTCATGTTGAGCATTGCGGTGAGCAATTCTGCAAAAAAGTTGGATTTTGGATTATTTATGCGATGTTTTCGAGCCATTTTCGAGTCATTTTTCAGCCGATTTTCAGCCGCTTTTGAGGCACTTTCAGCCATTCTTAGCCAATAAATTATTTGAAATTTTTAGCACCGATTTTTAAAGATTCAGAGCAAAAATAAAAAATAATTTAAGGCGCATCGACGTCAAATGTTCCATTTTCAGGTTTTTCTAGGTATATCCAACTCTCTTTCAGCCGTTTTTGGTCTATTCTAAGCAAATTTTTGAGCAATTTTTGAGCAGTTCAGACTGTATTTTTTTACATTTTCTAATGTCAAATTTTATGCTCTACATTTTTGTAGTTGATTATTTTTCTCTAGGATTTCTAGTTTTTGAGATATTCCACAATTACCAACAAGACATTTTGGAGCAGTTTTGGGACGGTTTTCAGCCATTTTTCAGTCATTCTTCCATACAACTCTGTTTACAAAATTGTCAGCTATCTTTTGAGCAATTTTAGAGCTGTTTTTGGCAGTTGTTCAGTTGCCTTTTCGAACTTTTTGAAGCCGTTTTTGAGCAACTTTTGAGCGGTTGTCAGCCATTTTTGGCCTGCACACCTTTCCTCCAACTTATCTCGGTTACAGTAAAAGATATCAAAAAGCGGTCAACTGATAAAATATTTTTGATATTGTGTTAATATTTTATCAGTTGAACACTTTTTGATATCTCCCACAGTAACCGAGATAAATTGTCTCAAAGTTATGGGATCCTTCTTGGCAATTGAAGGGTCCTCTAAATTGGACCGAATTTAGCTGGATTACTACAAAAGATATCAAAAAGTGATCAACTGATAAAATGTTAATCATATTATCAAGTACATTTTATCAGTTGATCACCTTTTATAACTCTTACAGTAACCGAGATAAATTGATTCAAAGTTAAATCTTACTTTTGGTATGTTTCGCGGGTTTTTGAGCCGATTTTGGCTCATTTTCAGCCAATTTTTGCTGAAAACTTTAGCATTTCTAGCCACCTACCGTATCCCAATCCTGGACCATCCTCCTCTTCCTCATCATCCAAATCCTCTGCTTCCATCATTTCATTATTTGTCGCCGTTGAATCGCTCTTCATCATCATTCTGCGTCCTTCCATTTTCACACTTCTCTTATCATCCAAATTTCCAGATGTTCCAGAAGATTCTTCTAGAAATCCTTCTTGAATTTCAACGTCATCATAATCTTGGTGTTGGCCTGGTTGATAGGATCGATCCATATCTCGCTTGATTTGAGATTTGAAATCACTGAAAAAAAAGATTGTTGGTTTTAGGAATTTTTGAAAATCGGAAATTCGTAAACTTCTAAAATCTAAAAACTTCAAGATTCTGAAAATCCGAAGTTCAGAAATTCCGAGAAATTCAGAAATTCCGAGAAATTCAGAAATTCAGAAATTCAGAAATTCAGAAATTCAGAAATTCAGAAATTAAGAAATTCAGAAATTAAGAAATTCAGAAATTCAGAAATTCAGAAGTTCAGAAATTCGGAAATTCAGAAATTCAGAAATTAAGAAATTAAGAAATTCAGAAATTCAGAAATTCAGAAATTCAGAAATTCAGAAGTTCAGAAATTCGGAAATTCAGAAATTCAGAAATTAAGAAATTCAGAAATTCAAAAATTCAGAAATTCAGAAATTCAGAAATTCAGAAATTCAGAAATTCAGAAATTCAGAAATTCAAAAACTCAGAAATTCAGAAATTCAGAAATTCAGAAATTCAGAAATTCAGAAATTCAGAAATTCAGAAATTAAGAAATTCAGAAATTAAGAAATTCAGAAATTCAGAAATTCAGAAGTTCAGAAATTCGGAAATTCAGAAATTCAGAAATTAAGAAATTCAGAAATTCCGAGAAATTCAGAAATTCAGAAATTCAGAAATTCAGAAATTCAGAAATTCAGAAATTCAGAAATTCAGAAATTAAGAAATTCAGAAATTAAGAAATTCAGAAATTCAGAAATTCAGAAGTTCAGAAATTCGGAAATTCAGAAATTCAGAAATTAAGAAATTAAGAAATTCAGAAATTCAGAAATTCAGAAATTCAGAAATTCAGAAGTTCAGAAATTCGGAAATTCAGAAATTAAGAAATTAAGAAATTCAGAAATTCAAAAATTCAGAAATTCAGAAATTAAGAAATTAAAAAATTCAGAAATTCAGAAATTCAAAAACTCAGAAATTCAGAAATTCAGAAATTTAGTGATTCAAAATTTCTGTTTTCAGTTCAAAAACAAAAAATTCGAAATTCAAACTTTTTGGCGCCAAAATTTTGTTTTAATTTTTTCAAATGTTCTTATTTTCTCACCTCATTTTTATTGGATTTCCTTCTTTTCTCTTGACTAAATCCCAATAGCTGGATTACTGTATCTGAAAACATACAAAAATTGGAAAATCTAATTCAAAGTTGGCGCGAAAATCAATAGAAATTCAAATGGACCAAAGAATAGGGAGAAAATGATGCAATTAAATAAAAAGGAGTGATCTAGACCAAAAAATCGATTTTAAACCTATTTTTGAACCTAAAAACTTATCAATTTGGACTCTAAACCTAGAAAAACGCCCTAGAAAACATAGGAGAAGGGAACGATTCCAAAAACACGCGCATACAGGGGAAGAAGAAGAAAAAGAGACAAAAAGTGATAAAATCACTAAAAATGGAACTTTCTAGACCAAAAAATCGATTTCAAACCCATTTTTCTACTTTAAAATTCATGAATTTTACTCCTAACCCCAGAAAAATGTCCCCAAAAAAAAGATGGTAATTGAAAATTTGGTCGAAAATCAATAGAAATTCAAATGGACCCAGAAAAATGATGCAAACCTAAAAAAACGCACGTTCTAGACCAAAAAATCGATTTTAAACCCATTTTTCTACTCTAAATCACTTAAGTTTTGGTCCGAAACCGAGAAAAATAGCTTCGAAAAAAAAGGAGAAGGGAAAGACTCTAAAAAACACACGCAAACAAGGGAAGAAGAAGAAGAAGAGGGGCGACGGCGAAGGCTGATTGGGAAGAGAAAAGATGAGAAATAGTGTGTAAAGAGGAGAGAGTGCCAGACAGTAGGAGCAGTAAGGGTCTCGCGGGTTGGCAGGGGAGAGAGATTGGGGGGAAGAGAGAGACGTAGACAAAAGAAGACAAGGATGGAGAAGGGAGAAGAGGGGTCGTCTGGTGTATCGAACGATTGGAGAAGGCAAGAAGAGAGAAACGTAGACGTTTGACCGCGTGCGTGCGCGCGTAGCGGACCACCGAGTAGGGTAGATGGACGTTGATTTATGATGTGTAGGTCTGGGGGAAAGAAGGTGATAGGATTTATGGGACAATTTAGAAAAAGAGGATTTTAGGATAAAAATTGTGAGGAATTTGATTTTGGCAATGGGAATAGTCCTAATTGGTTGAAAAACCTTCTTCTTTAAATTCCAAAATTGTACAAAAATGAACCAAAAATGAACCAAAAATATATCAAAAATAGAAGAGTTCCAAAATTAGTATATAACTTTTTTCATAGACAAGATATTAATTTTCCAAAAACATCATCTTATAGAACTTGTCAAATTCTATTGTTTCCGTTTTATTTGGTCCAAAAATATTACGTCTGAAAAAAGTTATACATCGGTGAGTGTGGGCTCGTCTTATGTCTTTTAACTGGTCCTCTAACTTTGAATCGATTTACCTTGGCTACTGTAAGAGATATCAAAAATTTATCAACTAACAAAATATTTATCATATTATCAAAAACATTTTATCAGTTGACCACTTTTTGATATCTTTTACAGTAACCGAGATAAGTTGACTCAAACTTTTCACAGGTTTTTACCCCTTCGGATCGAAGGAGGTAAGATTTATGGGACAATTTAGGCGGGAAAAAGCGGGTTTTAGGGTGAAAAATTATGGGGAATTAGATTTCAACACTGATAATTAATTCAAAAACAAAGGAAACCGACTTTTTCAAATCCTAAAATCCTTCCACTTCAAATTCCAAAAATGAAAAGAAGTCCGAAAATAGGTCAAAAAAGGTGAGACTAAATTTGATCCGATTCATCTGGTTTACTGTAGGAGATATCAAAAAGTGGTCAACTGATAAAATGTTTATCATAGTATCAGTAATGTTTTATTAGTTCACCGCTTTGTGATATCTTTTACAGTAACCGAGATATCTTGACTCAAACTTTTCACAGGTTTTTACTCCTTCGGATATTTTGGATGCGGGGCCGAAGGAGGTAGGATTTATGGGACATTTTGGCGGAAAAAAAGGGGATTCTAAGGTGAAAAATTATGGGGAATTTGATTTTGGCCTTAGAAACTTTTTATTTGATGAAACCACTGCAAAGTTGATCAGAAATGAACGGGAAATAGGCTCCGAAAGTCAAAAAATTGAAAAACACCCAAAAAAAGTGTCTCTAACTTTCCAAATTATCTCAGTTTCTGGGAAAAATATCAAAAAAAGGTTCACTGATAAAAAATCAATCATATTATTAAAAATATTTTATCAGTTGACAAATTTTTGATATCTCTTACAGTAACTAAGATAAGTTGGTTCAAAGTTGAAGGACCCTTTTATATAAATGGGGTAGCCATATAAGAGTCACAAACTTTGAGCTAGTTCATCTCGGTTACTGTAACAGATATCAAAAAGTGGTCAACTGATAAAATGTCACTGATGTTATGATAAAAATTTTATTAGTTGACCATTTTTTTACATCTCTTACAGTAACCGAGATAAATTGACTCAAGGTTAGGGGTCCTTTTATAGACCAAAAAGTCCTTTTCCGTTTTTCACACATAAGTGGCAGGTGTTTCTTATGGAAATGGCAAGTGGATAAGATCTAGAAAAATAGATTATAATCAGAAAAAAAAGAAAATTGAAAAAGTCATGAGATATTAATTTTTGTAAGGATTCAATACATAAATTTTTTGAAAAATGTGATTTTTAATTTTTGGAATAAAAAATACATATGGATCTTATGGATCAAATATGTTTATGGGTCCTATGGATCAATCAAATGATAAAAATGATAAAAAAATGATAAAAAAAATGATAAAAATGATAAAATGAAAAAAAAAATAATTGATTTTCAATTTGTCAGACAGATAAGAAGGTTTTTTGAAAAAGGAAAAATATATGTTTGATAAGATAAGAAAAAGGAGAACTTTGACTTCGAAATATGAAATTGTTTTTTTTTCAAATTACATAAAATTCCAGATTTTTTTTGAAATGTTTGAAAAACTCGAAAATTCAAAAGTTGAAAAAATTCTGAAAATCAAAAATTTCAAAATTTTGAAAGCCGGAAATTCTGAGAATCTGAAATCCACAAAATTCAAGAGATTCAAAAAATCCCAAACTCCAAAAGATCGAGTAAATCCGAAATTCCAAAATAACCGAAATTCCGAAAAATCAGAAAATCCAAAATTCTCAAAATTACGAAAATCAAAATTTTGGAAAATTCCGAAAAATCGAAAATCGGTAAGTTGAAAGATTCCTAAATTTTGAGAAATTCCAAAATTCTAAAAGCCTAAAATGCCTAAATTTTGAAGAAGTTTAACAACTCAAGACTTTGAAATATTTAAGAAATTCGATAAATTCAAATAATCTAAATTTTCGGAAAATTCCGAAATTCTTATTTTTCAAAAGTCAGCAATTTTTGAAAATCTCTACATTTAAAAAAAAAGTTGAAAAAAAAATCTGAAATCAGTCGGATTTTCAATTTTTTGAAAAAAAAACCAGAAAATTCTGAAAATCGAATTTTTAAATTTTTTTAAATTGAAATGTTTTTTTTTCTGAACTTCTGCACATTTGAAAATCTTGAAAATGTAATGAAAAATTATAAAAATATTTTTATTACATTTTTTAAAATAAAGCAATTTTTGAATAAAATATAAATGAGCATCTGGATGGAAAATGGAATTGTGGGAATTGATTCTGGCAAAAAAAAAGTGAAACCAAATCAATTTTTGGGGAAAAAATGGGAATAAAAATAACAAAAATTAACATAAAAAACCGGGGAAAAAGACTCGGGGGAACATAAAAAATTTCAGATTATCCAAAAATTATTTTTCAACTAAAACTGACCGATTTTTGCTGGGAAAAAGGGAATTCAATTTCTCAAAAAGCTGAAAATGCGTACAATTTGGTGGCATATCGCCGTCTAATAAACAGACTGTCTGATTCACATTTCTACGAATTAAATCCAATTTCTCAGGGGACTGGGTTACGATATGGTAGAATTTGCGCCAAACTTGATCCATTTCTAGAGTAAATTCGGCCAATTGAGGTCGAGGAGCTAGTTGAGGAGCAGGTTGAGGTGATTGTTGAGGAGGTCCAGATGGCTGAAAAATTGGGAAAATTAGAACGAAATTCCAAAAAAAAAAACTGGAGAAATTTTATACTACTTTGAGCCTTTTTTGAGCTATTCCTTTCTATTTTTGATCCGATTTTTTGAAAAAAGGTCATTTTTGTCTTCTCTAGATAATAATAAAGATTAAAACTGTGATTTTCTGCCCTAAAACCATAAAAATGGTCTAAAACGCTTAAAAATGACGATTTTCAAAAAAGTGTACCAGATGGCTCAGTGGGTTTTGGCATCAAAATTTTTTGGTCCACAAGGCCAAAGTTCAATTCCTTCCGGGGTCAAAACTTTTTTGATTTTTGTGTGGACCTTGGAAATCTTGTTTTTAAGTCCGATAAAAGTTCCAAATAAGGATTTTTAGGAATTTTTCAAAAAATCGCTTTTCATTATTTTTATTCTAAACATTCTCATTTCTATTCGTTTCCATGGCTTAAAAACCAGATTTCCAGAGTCCACACAAAAATAAAAACGTTTTGAACTCGGAAAGAATCGAACTTTGACCTTGTGGACCTTAAAATTTTGGTGCCAAAACCCACTGAGCCATTTGAGACGCTTTTTGAAAAAAGTCATTTTTGTGGTTTGTTTTGAGGTTCCCAAGATGGTTTTAGTGATTTCATAGTGTTTTTTGCTGTCTAGAAGTGTAGAAAATTATTTTTAAGTTGAAAAATCAAAAAAAAATTCGGACAAAGTCCCAAAAATTGTTTTTCTGAAAATTTCAAATTTCAAACTCACAATCTGATGCCCTTGGGGTATTTGTGGAGGCGGCTGTGGTCCCTGTGGTCCTTGTGGTCCAGAAGACCTTTGTTGAGTAGCACGTTGTTGCTGGTGCTGTTGATGGAGATTCTGGAATTTTGAAAAGTGGAAAAAATTTGAAAAATTTCAAATTTACATTCTGATACGCCTGTTCCATTTGTGAGACTGGCTGTGGTCCAGACGGTCCTTGTAGTCCGGATGGTCTTTGTGGTCCCGATGGGCCTTGTTGAGGCCTCTGGTGATGAGCAGCACGTTGGTGTTGTTGTTGCTGCTGTTGATGAAGATTCTGGAAATTATAAACTATTATTTTTTTAATTTTTTTTTTCTATCTCAAAACACCATTTTTGTCTTTTCCAGGTAAAAATACGGTTTTAAAACCTATTTATCTGCTTTGAAACCATCAAAAACGGTCCAAAACACTCGAAAATGACCATTTTCAAAAAAGTGTTACAAATGGCTCAGTGGAATTTTTGAAATTTATGGGTACTATGGGTACTATGGGTACTATGGGTACTATGGGTACTATGGGTACTATGGGTACTATGGGTACTATGGGTACTATGGGTACTATGGGTACTATGGGTACTATGGGTACTATGGGTACTATGGGTACTATGGGTACTATGGGTACTATGGGTACTATGGGTACTATGGGTACTATGGGTACTATGGGTACTATGGGTACTATGGGTACTATGGGTACTATGGGTACTATGGGTACTATGGGTACTATGGGTACTATGGGTACTATGGGTACTATGGGAACTATGGGTACTATGGG